TCGAAGCGTAGCAAAAGCGCAAAATAAGACATTTCTTGCAACCAAATATGGTTAATTGTTATTTAGTGGGATTGGAATAGCCGACAACACCTGTGCCCAGCTCGTACTATGAATAATCAAATGCTAAAGCCATCAAGTTAAAAGAGGAAAATATAAACTGGAAATGAACTTTTTGTAATGCATTGCGTCACGCCACAAACTTTAAAGTGTGGAATGTGTGGCGATGCTTGGCGCTGGAGCCCTGTGGCAAGCTGTTGACATTTTATGGAGCCTACAATTTGAATGCTATGGCCCTTTTGGCAACGACTGCGACCAGCAAGCCGCACACACAACGTCGTTGTAACATTTTATAGTCCAATTACATGCAACGCTGAGCCGCCAAGAACACTGAGCCAAATATCGCGCATCCATCACATGCTAAACGCACATCATGTAAATTGTTAGCAGCTCTGCTCAAGTCAACGAGTGAGTCCGATGCAGAGACGGCCTGCGTCTATCATTAAGCTGTCGTAAATCACAAGTAATTGACATTATACAATGTGCATGGACTGAGGCAGAGGCCGGCCAAAGAGCCGCGCAGCCAGTCAAGCAAATAAGCAACAATTACCCAGCAAGATAGCAAACAAAATGCAACAATTAAGCTAAGCATATTACATGTAAGCACATGCTTCAATGATGATTGCGACTAGCCTCACATTCAGATCCAATGAGCTGAGAGAGTAGCAGAAAAAAGGAGGATAAACAAATAGAAGATGGCAATTTGAAAGTGAATGAGGTGGATAGAATATTGCCTAAAGCTTAAGCTGAATGTATAAAAATCTGTAGGTATGATAAAGAAGATAGACTTGCTTGTACTTCGTCTCTGATTTAAATTGTATCATCAATAAATGAGCTACAGTGTTCTATATCCAACTCAAATAAGTGAGCTAATTCCACTTTTTGCTTGACTTCACCCAACTTTAAAATATGTGCAACATTTACTTAGATCGTTCGACATTTTGTACATTTTTTTCTTTTTCCTTTGGTGTATGCTATGCAACAATTTGGCATAGATACGAGCAGAGAGTGAGCATCCACACAAGATTGCGATTGCTCGCCAGCTGAAATGCACAATTAAAGTGCAAAAGCAACAACAAGCAGAGAGGGGGACATAGAGAACAATAGACGTACGTCTGGTATTTTTAGACTGACACACTAAACAAAAGACGAGCCAAAGGCAGCGCATCGCCCCCACCACCCTTAATCTCAACTCAATCTCAGCCGCTCACCCTCTTTAGCAGAGTGATAGGAGATAGACAAGGCGTCTTTATCGCAGTGTTACGAAATGCTGCCAAGATTTGTGAACGTGATTCTATATAGAATTCGCACGCTAGCTGGGGGAGACCCACATAAATATATAGTAGTCGTATATGTATGTATATAAATAAACTGCAGCGCTGAGACGTAATCGCAAGTGTTAGCTAATAGCTAATAGTCACAGATGACGCTGCAAATGCGGTCGAAGGTCTGCCAGAAAGCTGGTCAAGGTTTGATAATATCGCATAAATTGTCAATCAGGCTTATCGCCAAATATACAAATATAATATAAAGAAACAATTAATATGTGGTAAAGTAGATAAGCTGACATTTCACACGTTGTTATCGCGTGATATTGAACAGGAAATCGCATATCAGAAAATATCAATACAAATATATATATATGCATAAATATACTCGTTTATTTGTTTATATAGTCGGAAAGGTAATGCCACATGTGCCGCTGGCCAAGGAGAATGAAAAACAAAACACGCAAATTGTATGTAAATAAAGCTGATTGTTCGCAAATTATGATCAAAAGAAATGACGAGTTCTTTTTCATTCTTTCTGCTTCTTTTCTCCTTCCTTTTTTTTTTGTTTTGTCGGGTTCTTGGGCTGTTGACTCTCTCAATGGGGCATTGCTCGATATGAATATTTGCAAATTAATCGTCTATGTCGAGCATTTCATATGAGTGTTTGGAGAACTATTTGTGCGGAATGCATTGTGGTTACATTAACTGTTTATTCACTTGAAAAAAAGTGGGAAATATTTATAATAATTTTTAAGAATAAAATAAGAAATATGTAGGTAAATATTTATTTAGATTTGTGGTTTTTCGTCGAGTTATTCACGACTTTCATTGGTTTATGATTCATATAAAAGCTTTGGCAATTTCAATTGAAAATCGCTTTGTAAACTTTTAATTTTATATAACCTATTCATACACTGCATCAATTAAAATTAAAAAAAAAAAAAATATATATATATATATATATATATATA